AAGCGAGATAGAGCCACGGGGACGCGAACTGTTTTAACCTCGTTTAATTGTTCCTTTAAGCGTTCTAAATATCCTGACTGGAAACCGTAAACAAAAGTAAAAGAATGCAGAAAGAAGCGTGCACAGAATGTGTGTCGACTTCTTATTGCAAGTCGTTCGCCACTGTTCCGTGCAAAATAATGGCGTGCAAATTGCATAATGGCGGAAACGTAATAATTCTTGTGTATTGTAATTCTTTTATCATTTTCCTATATTTCTTTTCTATATGTATTTTTATTATATTATATTATATGTTCATCCAAGACTGAAGAAAATTAAGAGATATGGAAGAAATTTTCAAGATAAAAGAAAGAAGAATATATAAAATATTTCCTGTAAACAAAGTTAAAGAGATTAAGTTTAAAAAAAGATATTTAATAGTATCCACACTTTATTAAAGTAATAGTATAAAAATTTAAATACTTTTCTTAATCCAAATCTAATTTTTTTTAAGTAGATCTGATATCGTTTCAATTTCAAATTAAATTAATTCATTTCATTTATCCCATTTATGAGAGACGTTTCCACTGTAACAAAAATGTATTTTCACTAAATACAAAAAATTTTAAACAAATCACCCATTCCTTTGAAGAAACAGCGCCCGAAAAAGGATCCAATACCATTCCGTTTTATTCACTTTCAGAGGCATCCGGACACGCCACTCCCATACTGCGTATTAACTGAAGAGCCGGGCATAGTCGCATTTCGCAAGGAGGCATTCAGCCGGATTGCTACCTATAAACAAGCGTAACAATCGTCGATATTAAAGGCGGATATTGAAAGCGTATGAGATGCGAAGGCGAAAAAGGGAAAGAGTGGAAAGGAAGGCGCGTGCTCCCTTCATACGTGAAAACGGGCGAAACGCATTTATCTTCGTTTCAGGTGAATCGAATGCGAACACCGATAACCCTGGCGCACCTGGGACGTAGATCGACTTATTTCCGACAAATCGGCAGAAATGGCGTCGGGTTTTCGATTGATCGAACTGGAACCCTCACCACCTACGACGAAATCCTCCCCGGAGGATTCTCTTCCTCCTTGGACCCCGCGCCACCCACACGTACTCCTCGATCCTTTGACCGTGCAGGCTCTTTTATTTATCGTTTGCACAAGTGGAATATGCTCCGCGAGCGGCTCAGATATATCAGATCCATCGATTTTTCGTCTCGAATTCTTATTGAATGAATGAAAAAGCGTAATAACGTCTTTTTTCTCATCGAATTTGAAGTATCGTTTATGAGAAGAAATATTTAAATATTTTAGTTTCTAGGATTGTACATATTATTTTTATCCATGTTTCAGTTAAAAACTAAAACCACCCCTTAAAAAATTCAAGTCTTAACTTCAAAAATTTATTTATTAATGATTTGTTTCATAACATAAATTCATAACATAAATATCTATCTTTTCCCAATATTTTTAGTTAGATGAAATTATAGATATTATAAAAAAAAATATTTGAAGAAATTCAAATACAAAGAATATCAGCAATTACGGTATCAAACTTCGATCTCGAGACGACTGACGTTTCCCCCTATCGTTACAAAGATATTTCACATTTCGTCAACCTATAAAAAGAAGGAGGGCGTATTCAAGGAATATTCGATGCGACGTGGCAACTCATCGGACAAGTCCTCACCCCTCTCCCCCCTTTGTCCTCCTCTCGTCCCGAGCAATTTGTGTGCTTTATCGGCGGTGTTTTCCGCCTGGGGGGAGGGGAAAAAGCCGGCGGGACATTATATTCCTGGAGGCGGAACGGTTCTTTGCGTCGCATGAAACAGCGTCGTATAATTTATGCACCCTGCGGCCGCGTTCATAAAGCCCAAATATTTTAAAACAAGAGCAAAAGAAGGGGTGGGGGTGGGTGGAAAGGCAGTGGCGCGCGCTGAATATATACATGTATATATACACGTTACGCGGGCAGGCCGCATTACCACAAGGAATCAAGAGGCTGTGCTCCGGACGACAAAGGATCCAAGAAAGACTTCTTCGTTTCCCTTTTCCCAGATGCCAAACGGATACAGCCGATGAAAACCTCTCCGGCGAGTTCTTTCTCTCCGCCGGCGTAAAGTAAAGTTGTTCTTTGATGGGCAAGTTGTTCTTACGATCGTCTGCGGAAAGGGATTAAAATTAGAATCGTTCTCGCATCGTAGAAAATAATAATAATAATACCGTCTTTCGATTTTCGTCGTTGCAATATTTTTTTTTTTTACAGGGGGTTTTTTTCTATATGGGGAAAATGGCGATATGAGAGCAGGCACGTCCGATATGAGAGCTTTCGAGAATATCTCTGACGGAGGTAATCGATTCTTAACGATAACGAAATGGCCTTTGCCATTGTCAGCCACCACTCCCCCCCTCCCCCTGTTCAATTATTCCGCGTGAAACGTAATATAATAACCTGGCCCCTATTCATCTCGCGACAGGTATTATTAATCGGCGAAGTTGCAGGGGAATTAAAAAGTCAGCGCGGCTATTAATTCCTCCGCCCTCCCCCGTCCTTGTCCCGGTTTCTCCCATTTTTACGATGCAACAGTTCACGACGGGTTGTCG